TGACTTGTTAACGAAACAGTTATTTTCTAGGTCAAACATTTGACATTTTTTGGGTACATTTACAGGATTTTGAGTATGAACACCCAATGCTGGGAACTTGCCGATTTGTGGGAATTTTGATAGCAATCGGCCTCGCTGGTGGATTTTGATGTCGGGGCCATTTTGTCACCCTCTTGGGGATTTAGTCATTGTTATAGCAACACCTAAACCATCGAGCTGGTAAGAGACCATCTTCTCCAAGCCATGATTTCTAATTCTAATAGAGGGTAACTGCCTGCATTATTATTCCGAAACGATCTATAAATAGGACTTACGTCTACGAGGAGCAACCCCCCATTTCTGTGAAACCTTATGCTTTTCTTTATTTGCTAGCCCTATCTTAAGCTCGCACAAAGTGAAAACATGAAACAAAAATTAAGCATAAAACTATCAGTAATTTTGTTTGTGCCAGTTTGGTCATTCTTATGTAACACTAGGGTTATATTTTAACCATTTAATTATCCATTGTTTGGGGCAATATTGGATTCGTCAAAAGCTATCAATTGATCAACTTATTTAGTATGTTGTTCGCCTGGAAAGTTATAATATACATGTATATAAAAAGAAGCTTGTATAGATAAAAACTGTAAGCGAAATGCTGAAGCAGCTCACACATTCAAATGTATATATATATATCTGCAAAAATCGTAAAGAATATTTGCTGAAGCTGCAGCTTAAGCTACATAGCTAACGCGCAAACAAATTGGAAATTAAAAAAGCTGCAACTACAGCTAAAGAGATATGGCCCTTTATTTTTTTGAGGAGAGATATAAGTATATTGCTTATGAATCATCTATATGTATCAGCTGACTATTTAGATCGATAATGTAAAAATAACAACTTGAAATCTCACTTTTATGTTTTATTTTTTGAGCATCTCTGATCATAGACAAATTATATATCTCACCTCGCTTTGGTAGGGCACCTCTCTAAACTATCATCTATTCGGGCAAATTTTGTACTGAAGCCGAGGCTATATGGAGGCGAATGGAACATTTCGTATTTACCGTCATTATTTCCTTACAACGATTTTTAGATACGAAACACTGAATTTTTGTTGAGGATTTTCAATTTTGTCGCCGTATTTAAACATTTTCATATTCCTTTCTACAGCGTAAAAGCGGACAGTGACGATATTTCTATTCCAAGAGGACCAATTCCAAAAGAAGGAAGATGGAGTGATTTCATTAAAATGTTTCTTGCGTATGTAAAACAAAAATTAGAAACAAAACGTATGATACAACAGACGTAAAAACATGACAATATGAAAAATACTAGAGAAATACATGATTCTCCTTGATTTATGTCAATACTAAAGGAACATGGATTTTTAAAAAATATATATTTTAAAAAACAGTCGCACGGCACGGACATAAGCACAAATTGAAATTACATAAATAATATGTAAGTAATTTATTATTGATAAAAATTCCTGTCTTAAAGGTACTCGTCAACAGAATATGTTTTTTGTATTAATAATGACTACATTTTCACTTTGGATACATTAAGGTTCGTATGTTTTAAGTTATTAGGAAGTTTGGTGTATACCTTTTTACAGGGTGATTCACAAGTTGTGACCAAAAACGAAACATCATGCACAGGCCTGCCTTTTAAGGGGGGTCTTTTATGTAACATTTTTTCCTCGATGGTGTTGAAGTTTAAAAATAAAAAACATTTTAATAATTTTAAAACCTTCAACTAGAAGTAACTAAAATTTGGTATGTAGATTTACCTGATTATTATCCACATTCAGAAGCATTTACTTAAAATGAACGTGCACCACAAACCCACATTTGTATCCGTCAGAAGGGAGGTCTTTTTGAACATTTATTGAAATAATGCTTTTATTATCTAATTTGTCTTTATTTCTCAATTTTACGAAACCAGTGCACTCTAGAAAAAAACGAGTAATTATTTATAGCAAATTAAAGGTAAAATGTCGACTGGTCTTAACGTGCCGGCCAGCAGATATGGTGCAGACCAGGCTTAACGCATCATTTTTATTTGCTAGCCGGGTGTCCGCAAAGTTGGGGTTTTCCTTTACACGACGTGTAGATCTTGAAAACATAAGCAATTTTTCTTAGTACCATATACACCAATGTCTTAAGGGAACCGAGATAAGGGGCTCTGCAACATCAAAAATATCTGAATACCGTCCTGTAGCCGCGACCCGCCGCGATATCCCCGACTGGTACAAGGTCGCAACCCGACGGCAGAACTGTGTCGGGGTCAGTGTGTCAGGTTAGTATGCAACCTTCAACCGACGGTTATGGTCACGCATGTAGAGGTAATCGCGTAGACGAGAATCGCTCAACAAGCACTAGAGACGTGGCTAGAGAAGTGCAAGTATCTAAAACTAAAGTGTGGCAAACGCTGCGTGAAGAGAGGCTGTATCCGTTTCACGTCCAACGTGTACAAGCCCTTCAACCTGACTATTTTCCAGCAAGAGTGCGGTTTTGTGAGTGGTTGTTGCATCAACATGACAATAATCCGGACTTTTTGAAGTGCATATTGGTGACAGACGTATCTACGTTCACGCGTAATGGGGTGAATAACTTTCGCAACACTCATATTTGGTCAGTAGAAAATCAGCACGCTGTCCGTCGGGCACATTTTCAACAAACATTTTCGGTGAACGGTATGCTCATTGGACCATTTATTCTCCCAAATCGATTGGACGGGATGCAATACCTAGACTTGTTACGCAACATTTTGCCTTCCTTGTTTGCCTGCGTCTGCTCGGTAGCGCATCAGCTGATTTCATTTTCTGTTGGAGCGGTATAATTTCGGGCAGAGACGTACTTAACCCTTCTCGTCAACTGGAGAGTGAGTACTTTTTCCTTTATATTTTTTTACTTGGTCGCCCTCGTTTCACTACACATTACCTTTGTTATTTCAAGGGTAGTTGTTTCTGAAAAGGAAAACCCCAACTTTGCGGACACCCCGTATATATGGTATCATGTTTTTGTACAGGGAGTCGAGGTAGAGATACGAAAGAATTGTATTGCTTTGTACGTGTTTGATTAAAATTTTGTGGTGGTTATTCTTTAGGATAGCTACACCTGCCTTTTTTGTTTCTCCGTCCGAATAGGCGCTAGGTTTGTGTTGTAAATGATGGAAATGAGATTAGAAATGTCCGCAAATGGGTTAGTTGCAGAAATTTGTTGATATTATATGGATTTTAAAAGGTATAAACACCTTCTTAGTCACAACATTTGCAGAATGAAAGGGAACCTTAATAGTACATACCGCGATATTGCCACTTTGAAGAAATACAAGAAAATTAACGTAAATACACGTTTCTACGCGTAGCAGCTCTCCTTTTAATCTAGTATTTGTTCCCTTTGAGTCGCCCTAGTGCGTTGACGATATTAAGCGGCGATCTTTTGTTTTGTTTGGTAGGCATTTGGTAGGAGCAGCGAATTCGTCGTATGACGTCGACGCGGTTTTTCCGATTTTTTTTCCGGTTCGCGAAACGTTCGGAAAGAAAGCGATACCGTTTCGGAAACTAGAAACTCGGCGCTTTCCGGGGGAGCGAGAGCCGGCGCGGTGAAAGGTAGAAACGCGATCGAAAACGGCCGGTAAAGTCGAAAATCTACCGTTTTTTTCCGCGCTGTTCGTCGTTCAACATCGATCTCCTCCGAAGATAAAGGTGCTACGAACCTGACGATTTTTGCGTGAGATAGCCCGGATGTCGAACTCAAAGATAGCGTCTTTCTTTTTTTTTCTTTATCCCTTTTCGTTCGAAACTTTCGATTTTTTTAAAAACCTCGGTTACGCGCTACTTTCCGGTTTTTTTCCGGGTTCGCGAAACGTTGCCACTGAAAGCGATACCGTTTCGGAAACTAGACGATATTTGCGTGAGAAAGCCCGGACATTATATAGCTATCGAAAAATAACGATAATGAGCTGAGGAAACAATTCTGACCGTTAGAATTACCGTCAAATTTCGAAAAAGTAAACTTTGAGCGCCTCAAAAGTACCGATGACAGCCGTTTTTAATGGGTACTTTGTCTTCTTCGATACGGATCTTCGTTACGGATCGACCTAACTACGATTTTTTTCGCAAAACGAAAGACCAAAGTCTCCTGATTAACCCGCTATACGACACGTTACCCGATCGCATTTTTTAAACTCGGCAGATTAGTTTGAAGTTTGTATTTTGATTTTCGCTCGAGATTCGTGATTCCTGTTAGGCGGGGTATCGTAGGTATGATGAAGCGGAACGTCCAAAACGTGCTATTTTCGGCTTTATGACGATCGCTTCATCCAATATTGGATCATACCGAATAGCATTGTCCTTTTTTACGCGTGAAAATAAATATTTTCGAATAGATTCAGAATTTCTATATTCTATAGTCTAAACGGACCGGACTATAACTATAATCATAATAACAATCTAGTTAGATATTATGTAGGGCTGTGTGTAGTTCGAAGTCAAACATAGAAGTTCAATTATTAAAAATATCCATCAACACGAAAACCTATGAAGTAATGAAATCTGGCAACATCACACAGTCTTTGAAAACAAACATTCAATAAAAACCTATAATATAGTAAAATACTTCTGAAATTCCATATACACCAAAGTGGTTTTTGTTGATCAATTGCGCGTCTCGAAAAAAACAGAGCCACACTGTCATAGCAAATTTTAGTGCATTGTTTTTCAACATCAACACTCCGTATCTTTTTAATGTAGCTCTCGAAAAAAATTACATAAAAGACTGCGATTCTGTATACAAAGTTTCATTTTTGGTCACGGCTTGTGAATCACCCTGTATACAAAAAAAAACAACCTACACCTCTTCCTCAACAGAAAATTCAGCGGTTTTGTGAGACCGGTTGCCGATGATGAAAATAGTGATCGAGCAATGTCCGAATCGTGTCAAGATAGTTTGTGCCGCCGCCGGCGACATTAGGGCGGCGCTGCTCGCGTACGCATCGTCTATCCACCCCCTTACCTGTCTGCGTGCTAGAATCAAAAAAGGTACTGGAAGTTTCTACGGTCATGGAAGCGATTGTACCGTCTAAGATCTGCGTGGCGGAATCCCGGCGACCGCGGTAACGTTGACAGTCGTCGCTTTGGCTGCTTTGACGACGGAAGTTCCGGCATCTGAAACATCATCATTTTTATCATTCTGAAGGATTTTCCAAATCCATTGGGATTGGAATGTATAGTGTTGTCATTTGAAATAGCATGTAACAATTGAAGGCACAAGTGGATAAAAGTGTCATGTAACAAAATCATCGCACAGAGAAAATTGACTAAACATTTTTTATTGGAACTTTTTACTTTATTTGAATAAGTATTTAGTTTTTGCAACGAATTCATCACAAAATAAATGAATCACCCCTTAAGGTTAGTTTAATCCAAAAAGCAATTTTTAAAAAGATGTTAGGCGACACCTGTATCCGCTTGTATCTTCAATCATTCCATTAGCTTTAATACATATCGCTGAAACACTGGTTGCCTACATCTAGGCACAGTCGTATAATAAATCGCAGAACGCCATCGATCGGTGTTGCACTGCCATGAATGAATAACCCAGGCAAATTAGAACCATAAATTTCTTATGTATTATACCGGGTGTTCAAAAATTAAACGGAGATATTTTAGAGGGTGATTGATTACTTGTTAAAAAATATGAAAATGAGTTTCTTTGAACATGGGTCCGGAAATGTAGAGGTACAAAGCTACAAAATAAATAATAATAATAAAATTGGTTTACAAGGCACTTGTGATTTTTTTAGCAAAAATTAATTAAGCAATTTTGTCCAGTGACATGCAATAAAATGGTTTTTATCCTTTCTTCTTGAAAACAAAGTGAGATGCGAAAACAATACAAAAGGCAAAGAAATTGACCCCTGCTCTCATTTGCTCTGCGTCTTTATATTTTTCTAAAAATGTTCAAGTGTAAATAGTAGTCCAAGTATCTATTATGTCATAATGGAGCGCCTGCGTAATTCGCGTCAGATACTACTTGTTTCTTCATGATTATGTGTCCCGATAGTGAAAAAGTCGTTGCTCAATGCTGCAATTTCCATTATTATTCCAACATAATGACGGGATCCTAGAGGTTTATCATTCCCATGAAATTAGTTTGTTTAGATGCTTGATCTAATTTCATTGGCTCGACTATTTCTCTATTGAACTAATTAGAGGACAATCACCCGCTTTCAAATCATACTTTTAGTTCCTTTTCAACGCCAATAACAAGAGGGTGTTCGACTTTAGGCACATTCCTCTAACCTTCCTGTATTTGTTACCTGATCATCTCTTCTGTAGTCGATTGTCTGCGGAATCCTCTGGCGATGAGGATCTCCTCGGTGGTAGATTGTCTTCTAACGGCGGCCGGCCTGTGGTAGTTTTCCGACGTCGGAGGTGGACCACCGCCACGGTTGCACGGAGACGGATCGCGACTAGAACAACTAAAACTATCTTAGGGACTTAACTTAACACACAACACGATTCAACATCATCGCGTTTCCTCTTATTCCTCGTTCTGTTTGATAGTGACTAGCATAATCTCGCACTAAAGAAACCTCCTGGTACCAAACTGTCTTTGAATAATCGAAATATACCGTTTACGGGACTATTATATAATGACACCCACTCACTAGTTTATTGAGATGCAAGTCGAATTTTTTTAAAGTTTTTTTTCATGAGATAAACGTCAGCTAACTGACTTTTTTACAAAGCCTGGTCGTACATTAGACTTGGATGCTTTCTTGAACACCATATTTGATGGCTGCAGCACTACATGAAGATGAGTTATTTGTTGAATTCGTTTATATTTCAATAGATACCATAAATGTCTCACCTAGACGACTCTGGCGACCTGTGTCCGTGCCTGCCAGCTACGCTGGTTGATTGCCTTCGCAATGTGCCCCTTCTACTTCTTCTTCCTGGACTCAATTCCCTGTCTCCTTGTCTATCAGGACTCAATCTGGATCTATTAACAAACGATTCATTATTGACTCGTAAATTCAGATATTACATTTTACCATCAAACTATTATTGTACTTTCTTTCCTATAGGATAGATATTTCAGCTTCTTAAAGTATACTAGCTAAAAGTGATGAAATAGGTTAGGATCTATCTATCTATCTTGAAGCTAAGGAACTTCGAGGTCATGAAGCTCTAGAATATGTGAACCACGGTCTCCTTGAGACAGACAGCAAACAACCTTTCATACTATACATGGACTGGTATCGAATCTCTATTATAATTCCTGCTTACAGAAAGATGATCCATATCGAAGGACCTTATCTCTCAACCTACCTGCTGTCCCTTCTGCCCCTCCCCGCCGAGTCAGGACTAAGCGAGTCCCTCCTGGCCTTCCTCATGCCCCCATGGACTCCCTCCCCTTCTCCCCCGCTTGGGGGCTGCCCCCCGTCTGGACTCAACGCCGCCCCTGACGGTTGCGACCCTCTTCGGCTCCAAACCCCTGGGGGCAGGCAGCTTTCGTCGTACGCCGTGTTCTGGCGTTGCAACCTGCCGTGCTTCCGTTCGGGGCTGGTCGCATAAGCTGTACGACTATCACGACGACCTGCCAAAAACAAAAATATCGATAACTGATGATACATTTGATAGATGGTTAATTAAGGAACTTATTAATGGCAATAGTAGATACCTACCAAGTCTACCGCATTGCGTCGTGCTGTCTCTTCTGGACGCCAGCATCGGATGATGAGTCGGCGTGGTCGGTTGTGCGGGAGCCCCGCCCACCGGAGGCGCCGCGTTGGTCATCGCAGGCGTGGTGGGGGAAGTAGCGGGCGGGGTCACGCTCGACGTGATGATCGTGGGCGGCGGCGGAAGACCGATATGTTGAGTGCCTGTTTCTGTAGATTGGCCGACGCAGACGGAGGGAAAAGGGAGGTGTTGCGGGCCCGAATCGGATGCGGTCGATGACGTACTAGGACGTTGTTCTTGCCTAGATAAATGATTGATGTGAAGAATAGATCTATGTTCTATTGCACAAGAAATGCGTTTTAGGAAAGTTAAGGCACTTCTAGGTACAATTGCCATTTAGCTTGAATGGGTATGTTGGAGAGCAAGACTCACTTTGTTTCTAAGGAAAGCTATCGATGATTCGTGTAAATCACATACCAATATTTAAAGTGAAACCAAATTACGTTGGCGCAATTATGGCTGCCATCGGTGACAAATGCCACGCAACTATTTATAGTATTAAACCTGTTCCATTATAACAATATACAGCTTAAAAGCATGTCAGAGAATTCGCGTATATAAAGCAGCTTTTCACAGTGTAACACAAGTGATGGGAACTAAACTGAATATCAGATTAATAATCGTTAAGACTATGGATTGTATTACAGCTATATGTATCTCTTGATGCTGAAGTTTCTTCAAGTTCTTTCAAAGTGAGATACATCTAAGACTCTACGTACTGATGTATCAGAAATTATGAAATGCATCAGCCGTATTCGAAAATTAATCTCCTTCATGAGAATATATGTCGCAAAACGGACACGGATAATGCCCAACTTTTTACTGGCTTTTTCTCATACACAATAGCACGTCATAAAACCCTATGATTTCGGACACTTCTCGTTTTGTTGCCTGTCATAAAATCCTTGAACGAGTAAAAAGCACTCAGCCACTCTGCATATCTCTGGCAGTTTTCATCTCCAGTCCGAGAATAGCTAATACCGAAAACCTCGTAAGCAGTTTATCGCAAATGTGTTTCGGCGTCCTGTGACTTACATTACAGTCGATCCCTCAAAAGTTTTATAAAAACTTTATTACGCTGTCTGAAAATGCTTATAGTGTGGTTTAAGTCATTGATTACGAATCTATAATCAGAATTACAGTAAATTTGAACTGTCGGAACTGTGCTCGAACAAATACCTGTTCCTCAATGATGTGCTAATGTTAAAGGTTATGATTATTCAATAAATTAAGCTCAACAAGGCCTTAGAGATTAACTCCCGTATGGACCCTTGCACTATGATCGATACTCCTCAGGTGTGCACATCTATGTACTAGAAACTTTAATCCCCAGTCGTGAAGCCCGAATATCCTGTATCCTGTTTTACGATCAAAACCGGAATTATCCTCCGCCTCGCATCTCTATACACAACAATGTCGCTGTCAATGTGCTAAAAGCCGCCGCCGTCGGCCCTAGTTTGATAATGCAATTATTAATGCACAACATTTTACCGGCAATTTGATTAAAAAGTTGTTTGCCAGTGTGGTGCACACGTGCATACAAGCAACGGATGTTTTAAAATGCACGACACGTTCATGATGAATGGTTTAGCGACGGCGGATGGAATTTGATCAATATACTCAGAGACATTAGAAGTGTTACATCCAGTTTGGCAATGATGTCTTACATCAATAAGGAAACGAGTATCGGATCATAAGTGGGCGTGGTCAGTTATGCGGAAGCTCCGCCCACCGGAGGCTGTCGCGTCGCCGCATTGGTCATCGCAGGCGTGGTCGAGGAAGTAGCGGGCGGTGTCACGTTCGACGTGGTAATCGTGGGCGGCGACGGAAGACAGATATGTTGATATAAGATAGTAGATAACATTTTGACGAAGGTAAGGAAAAACAAAGATAAAACATGGTTTAAGTATAGTCATTAGGTTGCCAAAAAAACAAGTTGATGGATGTAATACTTCTAATGTTGATCAGCAGCAAAGAAAATCAAGATAGTGAAGCGGTGACCGCAATTTTGGAATGTTGTGTGACGAGCGTCACTTTAATTCGATAGTGGCGAAAATGGCGTCAAGTAGCTTGACTATATTCTTGCTACGCCTTTGTTGGGAAAATCAAATAGTGGTCGGGTAGGTTCACTTGAGTACAATGAATCTTCGACCTCTACATATGAAATTATACAGGGTCTTCGAGAAACAGACGGAGATATTTTATAGGGTGATTCTTTGTTGAAAAAATATGGAAAAAAGTTTCTATAAACATGGGTCCGGAGTTTTCAAAATGCAGGGTGAATTTGATTATTTTTTATTAATATCTTAAACAATATTTACTTGACGTTTGGACTGACGCTCAAATGTCAAATCTCCATACAGAAGTGATTTTTTGTTTCCCAAGGCATCTATGATTTTTTTAGCATGAATTAATAATTATATCAATTTTGTCCAGTGACATGCAAGTTACAAAAAAGGCAAGGCCTTGGCGTGATTTTTTTTGCCAATAATATTTTTTCAAGATATTAATAAAAATCCGAAAACTGCATTTCCGGACCCGTTTTTATAGAAACTTTTTTTAATATGTTTTAACAACGAATCACACTCTAAAATATCTTTGTCTATTTTTCGCACACCCTGTATAAAGCAAATCTAACAAATTTCTCTTGCCATGCCAGATGTTAATATCATAAAAAACCTCCTGGTTCGTTTGAGACTGGCTAAGCTAATATGCATGTTTAAGCTCTGCTAACAAAAGTGGTTAACTTAGAAGCACTCGAATATTTTACGAAGCTGATCAAAAAACCTCGACAAACTTGTCTGTAGAGGCCGCGTCAATTTCGTTATCGTTATTGAATTTATTCCGTCGGCATCTGCCGGTTTGAAAAGTACGAAAAGAAATTAACTTCTCATCGTTACCTGTAGTATGGAGTTTCTGGAGCGGTTCTCGAGTCCCTCCGTTTCTTCTTGGCAGCTACGATTTTCGGGGGAGGAGGGGTGATGCCAGATGTTGAGTCTCTTCTGCCGCTCCTGCCGCTCTCCCCGGAGCCTCTTCTGCAAATCATATCAAGGAAAAAATGAATATTCAATTTTCACATTTTCAAAAGTGAAAGACAACTACCCCTTTTTTAGGTTTTATGAACAAAAGTGTCGTTTACAATTGTCCTTGTCGAGTTATATGTGATTCAATGGCTTTAATGTGGACTTCGTTCATATTTTTTTGCAAATTCAAACTGATCATCTTACACTTCATTCTATTCCAACAGAACATTCATCCTGATAGACAGTCCACAAGAAAAGTCCGGGGATTCTGAGTTGTAAAACTGAAGAGACGCTAAGACCAGTTCTGTGACCTGTTCCTACAGTATCTTTAAACAAAGCGAACCGCTTCTAATCCCCGGACTCGTATCTAGGTCCAGTAAAGCTATATATCTCTAGCCCTAAGTGTCCTTTAACTACGTTCAGGTACCGTTTGTAACCCTCTGGGGGCCGACACGTAGCTACAGTCTCCCTCCATACCATTTCTTTCCTGTCGTATCTTTTTTATATCGCCCCCCACGGTTTGCGATATTTTTACAGCATATGCGATACCACACAGCATCGTCACTCCTCAAAAATGGCCACAAGTAGATCGACTCCGTATTTCCAGCGCAATTCTGCCACCGATTAGATTATTATATGATAATTTACAAGATAATTTACAAATCTAACGCCACATGGACAATGCATCAAAAAAATTAACCAACTGTAAGCATACTCAATAACTTTAACACTTTTTTGCATATGAGACACCCTGTAACAGGTTCAGTTGACACTTGGAATGCTAAGAAAGGCACTGCTGGCAAACACTTTTGAACAATCACTTACGGCCCTTCACGCGTATTCGCAAAACCAAGAGCGTGACTTCCATGCGGTAGGAAGCTACAGTTTCCTTAATCATGGACACGGGCGTGACTTTCGTGCGAAGTATTTCCATATCAGGCGCGACTTCCACGCAGTAGGAACCTACCGTTTCCACGATCATGGACACAGGCGTGACTTCCATGCGGTAGGAAGCTACTGTTCCCCCGTGCGAGGAATTTACATATCAGGCGTGACTTCCATGCGGTAGGAAGCTATCGTTCCCCCATGCGAGGTATTTTCATATAAGGAGTGACTTCCATGCGGTAGGAAGCTACCGTTCGCCTGGTTATGGACATTGGTGTTACTTTTATGTGGTAGGAAGCTACCGTTTCCTTGATCATGGACACGGGCGTGATTTTCATGCGGTAGGAAGCTACCGTTCCCCCGTGCGAGGTATTTCCATATCAGGCGTGACTTCCATGCGGTAGGAAGCTACAGTTTCCTTAACCATGGACACGGGCGTGACTTTTGTGCGAGGTATTTCCATATCTGGTGTGACTACCACGCGGTAGGAACCTACCGTTTCCACGATCATGGACACAGGCGTGACTTTCATGCGGTAGGAAGCTACCGTTCCCCCGTGCGAGGTATTTACACATCAGGCGTGACTTCCATGCGATAGGAAGCTATGGTTCCCCCGTACGACGTATTTCCATATCAGGCATGACTTCCATGCGGTAGGAAGCTACCGTTCGCCTGGTTATGGACATTAGTGTTGCTTTTATGAGGTAGGAAGCTACTGTTCCCTTAATCATGGACACGGGAGTGACTTCCATGTTATAGAAAGCTACCGTTTCCTTGATCATGGACACGGGCGTGGCTTTCATGCGGTAGGAAGCTACAGTTTCTTAAATCGCGGACACGGGCCTAACTTTCGTGCAAGATTCTTTCATATCAGCTTGACTTCCATGCGGTAGGAACCTACCGTTTTTATGATCATGGACCCGGGAGTGACTTCCATGCGATAGGAAGCTACCGTTCCCCCGTGCGAGGTATTTCCGTATCAGGCGTGACTTCCATGCGGTAGGAAGCTACCGTTCGCCTGGTTATGGACATTGGTGTGACTTTTATGTGGTAGGAAGCTACCGTTTCCTTGATCATGGACGCGGGCGTGACTTTCATGCGGTTGGAAGCTT